ACAGGTAATTTATTTGAACATTCACAAGAGTTAAATTAAAAAATTAAATGTAGACGGCTTTTACGATTAATAATACTCGCAAGCATCAAGCAAAGGCAGATAATTAAAAAGGAAGTTTTTCTGTGGCCACAAAGGGCACAAGATAGCAAAAATGATCGAGTTCAGTTGAAATTCGTGGACTAAGAGTAACATCGAGAATTATCCTTCGAGAGTTTAACTTAAATGGATAGGCCCAGCAAACCTTTTCTTAAGAAATTCGAGTCTGATGTTCCATTTCTCAAGTTAAGTTCAACATATTGAGCATTGTTAAGCTTACGAGAATTGGCGTAGAATTCGACTCCAGAGCAGAGTTGAGAATAGGCAGAGCATAAGTCTTGAAATCTGCTGGCGAAAGTTTGGCCACAAGAATACCCAAATTCTGCAGCAATACTTGAACCACCTAAAGATAGTTTTTTTTGCCTCCAATAAATTAGGCAAACGGCTCAAATGTTTATTCAAGAAGTTTAGCGCCGAAGCTCACCTGTATTGGCTCGTTAATGGCAAGAACAAACTTAAACCTCGGCAATATGTACGTAGTTACCTCCTCGCGGCTTGACATATCAATAATTAGGAGAATAGAAGGAAGTACAAAAGGAACCATGTTTTTATTATTAAATTCCTCCGACAGTTGAGGAAAAACTCTGTGAAGATTAATCCTCTAAAAGGTAAGAATGTCATCAAAAATAGTCCTACAGGTGGTAAATTCTTGATAGCGTTCGGTAGGTTTCGGTAGAACTTGGAACGAGATAGATTGTCCATCTGGTAGAGGTCGTCTAGACTCTTTAAACAGGCCACGTTGGCGTCATCGAAAAAGGGAAGCTAGTGAAGGAAAAAAGTTCTTATCAATGATCGTTCCGTGCTACTGATTACATTTAAGTAAAAAAGGACTAACTTTCAGAATGTCGTGTGAGTCTGGTCGTAAGGCAACATCTGGTTGCAGGAGCATTTTCACGTAATCTTTAATTCCTGCTGGAATGTTTGACAATATAGCAGGCGATAAAGGTCTCAACTAGTGGAAAAAAGTGAAGGCGTATTAAATACAGAGAATACAGAGATATTTGAAAATATTTGTCGTAATAAAAATAACGTAAAGTAAAATTTACCTTCTTAATTAAATCCCGATAAGCACCATAGCTTTCATTGCAATCGAGGGCAGATATCCCATGGTTGTAAAAGGTATAAAGAAGCATTCCAACGGAAAACATATCACTGGCAGCATAACCTTTACCCTGAAATTCAAAGAAAAAAGGATTTTTAAAAGATGGTGATTAAGTTCGCTTAGCATAATTCATATTAATGGAGAGCAGTTGTAGCCAAAGAAATTCAAGGCATCAGATTTTATAAAAACCTCTTCACTCACAAACAGATCCGATGCAAAGAAAGAAAATCAGCTAAAATTTATCATCTTCGTTCTGGAGATAAGCTTCCAATAGAGTAGAAGCATATGGAATTTAACTCAAAATCATCAGATATAAAAACTAAACATCGTCAGCATGATAAGTGTTTCAGTATATTGAGAATTAAATCACTTTTTTTGCGTAAAAACAGAGGCAATCTTTATACTTCAGTACACACACTGTGGCAAAATACGATTCTGCAAAATGACATCCATCGTGAGTAGTAAATATCAACACTTTCTGTCAATATAAGAGTCCTTGGGTTTTGGTAATTAAGTAAGCTGATAATTATTATGCTTAGTTTGGAAAAAAGGATAGAAAAAATCAGCTTACGGCCATAAGAAGTGTTTAAGGAGACATTTAGTCTCCGTACTTTGTACACATCACTTCTTATTAGAGGCTCAGAAAAACAGTACGTGCGCTCAATTCAACAGATCATAATAAACTCTATTTCATTAGCCTTTCTCTGTCTATGAGACAGCAAGTGTTCTTCAAAATTAAGATGTCAAATAGCGTCAATAAATACAAAGTTGTATGAAAATCTCCATATTAGTAAAACAAAGCGGCTGTAAAACTCATAATTTTCTTGTTCGAGAGTAGCCACGTCACTTTACCACAAAACAGCATATCCGCATTATAAAGTTAACTGCAAATCGGTCAAAGGGGGGTGGGAAAGTAGAGACATAAACGCGATATCTTTAAACACAAATGACAAAAAATTTAAATAGTAAGAGGAAGGTAAATGATTTCAAAAGTAAAGTATTGATAATCACAAACCTCTAACACTACTTCAGGAGCACAATAGTCGAGATGTGATTGACACAGCGAAGGAATTGATGATTGCCAAGATGGAGTGCTTACCCATTCTTCATCATTTCTATCATACGCAAATTCAAATCCACACAGCTTCCAAGAACCTAACACATTGACTACAATCGACTCAGGAGAAACATTCAAGTGAAATCGTTTCCCGTCACGATGAAGAAACGTTAATGCTTCACATATCTAAGTGAAACAATAATGGAGTATGAGTTTTACAAAAGAATTTAGACATAGGTAGAAGGACACCTACTTGTATGATACCATACTTCAATTCTGTTTCTGAAAATTTGAAGTCACTCAATCGATCTAATTGGGGACCAGTGAGATTTTTAGTCTTTCCAAGAGCATTAGCAAGCGACGTGAAAACAGGTTCAGTCGCAAAGCAGAGACTTTCTCGCGAATCTTCAAGGGGATGTACAACAGACAGAATGCGTGGATGTCTCAAACGGGTCAAAGTAGCAACACCCTGTTTCAGCTTATCGATGATTAGCTCTCGTTCGCGTTTTGAGAATCGATCGACTAGTTTCTTTTCAAATATCCACACGGTAGCTGGTTCTTTTGAGGACTTCTTATTTGCAGAGAAGAGCTTCCACAAAAGACCTGGACCTGAGGAGCCAACTTGATTTTCTAAATCAAATTCTCTGGATACGGGATTGCCGGGTAAAGCGCTCGAAACTGTATTTCGCAGTTTATTTATCACGAGATCCATTTTCTAATGACATAAACGGTGGAATACTAGAATATTTAGAGACGCAAAAAAAACTTGAAAATAACTTTGAATTAAAAGTATATATGAGAAATGCTATATAATTTAATATGCTAACTAACACAGTCAAGGAAATTAAAATTTAAGAACCAATAGATAAATATAATAAACAATTACCTAGTTGTTTTTAGGAGTTACAAATACCACACCTAACATATTCAAGGCCACGTATGGAAAAATGAGCTTTAATGTATCTAAGTGAGCTTAAATAGTAATACAATAATTAATTGATAGGTTTTAATCACTATAGTTTTATTTTAAGTGTTATCTTTTTCTTCATTGATACTCTGCGGAGATTTGGTTAATTGTAATAACTGATACTCCATGTAAAGTGAAGCTTAGTCATAATTTTCTAACAAAGAAAGGCTTTAAAATGTTGCGACTTAATATAGACTCAAGAAATATTCCACTTGTAGAAACAAGAGTTTAAAAGACGGACCGATGCTAAGTTTATTTCAAAATGGCTCTTAGGTCAACAGTAGCCGGATCCTAATTATTATACATTCCGTTTCTTTGTAGGTAATTGCCTAAATTTAACCGGTTTCGATGGTGGCTAGACAAAAACTTTTCGTATTCATTTGCTTTAAAAATGGAATTTTAGTAAACTGGTTAATTCAGTATTTTGGTCGCCAAATCCAGATTTGTGGTATGCTGTGATTTGCATCCGCTTTATATGCGACTTTACTAATAAATTAGCAGCGAATAACTCGAACTTATCATTCTCCGTTTTCCAATGGTAATAATAATAGTTTCGTAAATTCACATAATGTGATAAAAATTAGTCAGAGTTAGTCATATAACATATTCTAACTAACTGATTTCAAAAAATATATCGTTGGATATGCAAATTTGCATATTGCGATTGCTTTTAACTGGGTAGAGTTATTCACAAATGTTATTCACATTTTATTGCAGGCAGAGTTTGGTAATTAGCTGGTTAATATAATTAGTCTTGCCATTTCAATTCGTTTCTTCTTATATAAGCCGAGATAGCCTTGCATAATAATGATAATAAAACTTAGAGTCTCAACTATTTATTGAGAAATTTTCTATTTCTTGATTCTCAAATTTTGTAAAAGAAATTATTCGAATGTTGTCTCTCAGTTTTTTACATTACTTAAATATTATATAAAGCTAAGAGGACTAATTCAGGTCCGAAAAGAGGATCAAGAGATTTCGTATTATTTGTTCGTTAATTAACACCGAATAAAAGATAATTAACTAGCATTCGAGGCCCGTAGTGGCAGGCATTAGCATAAGTATGCTACAAATGCCAATAATGCCAAGATATTCATTTACTTGCTCTGGAGGAAGTGTTCTAACTTGAATTCCTTTGCGAACATCTCGTAAATAAAGAATGACAGAGTAAGAAGGAATGATAGATTAGAGTTAAGGGTAAAAGAATTAAATTACGTGACTGTCTTGCCACTATCACCCTTGCAGCATGGATATTGGATTGAGTGAATCGGACGCTTGCTATCATTCCAAACTGTGCACATGTAAGAATATGTGTTGGCATGTGCATCCAACTGGGTGGCAAAGTTACTACTTAATTTACTTCAAATCCCTTATGGCTTCTATTATATTTTATTTGAACCTTTATTTATCAAACTGGTGTAATTTTCAAGTACCAGGTTTCTTAAAAGTCACCTATCAATAACAGGTTGGCGTTTCATAGAAAGCTAATTCGTGCCTGCTGACACCCCGAAGTCAGATATTGGATATTTGAAAATCGATATGAACAAATACAGATAGCTTAAGCAGATTTTTGTTATTCATTGTTTCGACCATCATTTATTTAGATACGACGACCAAACTATCCATCCATACCAACTATAAGCAACTACTAAATCCGAAATCTCATTATCTACAAAGGTAGCAGTAATTAAGACTGTCCAGTTCGTCTGTCAGAGAACAAATTATAATTGCTGAGCAAGCTAAAGAAAAGATATCTTCACGTTTTCCAATCGCAAATCAACGATGATCTCTTCAATTGGTAAACGCTCTCGCGTTGTCAATATTGTATTCAGCCCACTATATGAAAGATTTCTATGTTCAAACAACTCCACGTCATTGGCTCTAATTGACCCACTCAATCTCCCTCTCAACTTCGGATCTTGTTAAGGTGGAGTTTACAATTTAACAGAACATCGGCCATTAGTAATGGAAGTAGTAACAAATTTGTAACATAAAGTAAACTTCTAAAGTCCTGGAAAAATAACTTCACCCTCTATTAAGACATTTATGTAGTACTCCAATAGACACCAAGCTATGACAACCAAACTGTGAAAACTTCAATAACCATTCCCTATCGGAATTAAGTAATACCACTGATTAGACAAGAATGAAAGACTTCGCTGAATAGACTTGAATTTGTTTATCAAAGTATCAGAAATGCTGAAATAGTCCCAACAATTGAACTAGAGTACAAACCCAGCGAATAGATGATTCTTAAGGCTTGAAACAGGGTTAGCTTTAAGTAGTATTAATCGACAAAGTTCATTTGAATTAGCTGAGTAGATGCTTGCTAAGTGAAAGTGAGAGAGAGAGAGGCCAAAAGCAGCCATGCTCAAGTGAGCGGTGCCTTGCATTTATAAAATAGTGACCTCAACGGGTCATCGTTGGTATATCTGTAATATATGCCATCAAGGAATGTGTAATTTGATTACCTTTTCTCGTCATAGTACTGAAAATATAGATAATAGCGAATGGAAAACGATAAAAAGCCGAGATTTGTAAGTTATTTACAATATTCCAAAGAATTTGAACACAAGAAGCGTCCAGTGGGGACGTTTAAAACAACAAATAAAATGAGTCATAAAATGAATGGAGTTCGACCTCAAATCACTAGATAAAAGTATGTGCAAAAGCATTAACAGATGTTTTTGGGGTGATAAAATTTGCTCATGATATTGAGATGAAATAGTTTGTTTGAAAAAAAACAAATCACGGAACATATTCGTAGATGGAAAAATCATCTGGATCACGATTTATGAAACCGCGTTCAATCAGGTAGCCAATATTTTCCTTAAATGGCAAAAGAGCATGGTTTTGAAAAGGATAAAGAGGGAAGTTCAAGAACATGCATAGGATCTTACCTTGATCTGACCAATCTCAGGTGTAAACCGAGAGGATAACTGATCAAGAGCCTTTTTCACCAGTTCTTCATGTTCCAGTCTATTTCTCACTTTAAGTATTCGAATAACACAGGCCTATCCAAAGAAAAGAAAAAAAGTTGCATTGATCTACTGAGGAAAACCTTTCAAGTGAAAACGGAAGCATATCTACGCACTTGGATGCAATGTCGACGATCTTTTTCAGCTTCTTGTATGCTCTTCTCCATCTCCTTTTTGGTGACTTTTCCCAGTGGCACATCAAGACGTATACACACATTATGACTGAAATACGAGATATTTAAAAAGTTAGGAAACAGTAGTATTGATAGAAATGGAATCTATTTGGTCTCCAAAATTCCACCTTGAAATGATTTTATGATCTATTAGAGGAAGGAACCTCCATTAAGATTCACCATAGCGATAAGAACAGTAAATATGAATGGACATATAATCTAGAAGTCGTGTTAAAGGTTTAAGAAAGGTCAAATGTAAAGACACCAAAGGATGCTTGAGGGGGATCATCTGGCCAGCGTGGTCAAGAGCGACGTCGATAGATGACCACAAGTTCTGGTCTGGCCAATGTTCGGACTGAGTTTCAGGAACGGTTTCCCCATTGGTCCGCTCGGTATGAAGGTGTGCGTCTCCGTTTATCCAACCGAATTGTTGGCTACCTAAACCGCTTTATTTCTAACACCAATTTAAAGGAAAAAATTCAACCGAAAATATCGATATTGTGAAACCGAAACTAGTGCGTAAATGTTTGTGAGATGAAAAGTAATGTCTTAGGCTGTCTAAGGAAATGCTATTCCTCAAATGCACTTTACAGCTTAGTCACCCACTACCCAATCTCGGAGTACTTTACAACAAGGGTAGTTAAAACGGCACCTACCACCATATTATAGTAGCATTCTTATCATAGCCATTCGCTTAAATGTTACCATATTCAAAGCGCATTTGAAAAAAATCATAAGTAAATATTTCTCAAGGTGAAGAAGAAAAAATCTCAAATTTCAAATATCCTTTCTCCCCCTCCCCCTCCACCAACACTATTTCTTTACCTCTAGATCAATGCTTCATAAACGTTCCTAAAAAAGAGTATTTACAATTTGCTTACAGTCTATGTTTCAACCGAAGAGTAAGAGTAGTGTCTAGGGTGATGTTTGGGTCTTCCTGTTGGCTAGAGACTTCTTCATTATTTAACTGCTGGGTGTGTGCTTCTGGAGGATAATCAACAAGTTTCCTTTTCTGCGGTTTAGGGCTCTGCTTTCCTGCGTTCTCTTCCCTTCCGACCACATTCAAAATGCCCTCGTTTATTAAGTATTGGAGAATTTGGATCAACTTATCTTCCTCAATGCTTGTCGCGTTCTTTATTTGCCGGACAGAAAATCGATCAGCTTTGTTGAATAATAAAAGAATAACCATCTGGTAGGTTGAAACCTGAATGTCACAATAAGTGTTGAAACGTGAGAATATTTAAGTGCAGCAATGCATGAATAGCAGAATAGGAAAAGGATCTTACGATTAAACGGGTGCATATATTATCATCCACACTGGTAAGTTCTGCCCTCGATAGATGATAACACCATGCCAATGTGCATCTGGAATGTTTAGATGTGAAAAATTCCTCAAAACAAGAGATGTATTGCTCCAACTAAAATAATAATAACCACAGAGGAAGCGTTCAGCGTAGGCACACGGAATGGGCACGTTGAATTAGCATAAACGAACCTCAGGAGGCAAGACCACGTCATTTTGTGATTCATAATTCCATATACCTGAACTGAGTACCATAATAGAGATATTAACTAAAAAAAAGAATAAAAAAGAACAACTCCGTGTCAAATGATTTTAAATTAATTAAATTAAATTAATTATCATTTCAAATGGCAGCCTTTATGAGGGAGGGAGGGGGGGGGGAGGCGTGGTGTGAAAGACTGGAAATTGGGAGGAAGTGGAACAGCACTAGGACTGATCAAGCGTAATTGAGACCAACTTTGGATGATGACGCATTTGTTGTTAATCGATTAGACGGCCAACTTCATAAATAAGACAATATTTCACAATGTACACGTGGATGATCTTGGAAAAATTAGAAGGGTAAGGGGCAACCAAATGCTCCCCCCTTCAGAATATTGACAGCTAAGCCACTTTCTTCAACTGTATAATAGCATAATTACTCAGAGCGTTCGACTACCTCCGATAGGCTCGAATGGATTCCATTCATTGAATTCTTTCATTAGGGATTGACTTCTATTCACATCCTTCAGAATTGATCGAAACCTAATTGTGTAGTCATTACCGCAATATTCATTCATTTTGTTAACCATGGTGTATTCAGCAGCGTAGGAGATGGAGTTATCATATATCAAACGTCGAGAAAGGTAAAGCAAGTAAAATTTTCGAAACTCGTCCTTGTCTTCCAAGAACCAGAATACTCTTAACTATATGTTGTTGAAGTGGAAGTAAGTAGTAATTAAAGAGTATAAAGGCGAGTTGAGAGATATGTATTGGCTCACCATAGCGTCCATCCAATCTTCCGGTTCATTCTTCAGTCGGGATTTTGAGCTTAATTATAGACAAAGTATATTTTTAATGGATGGTTACTACATTAAAAAAGATTACTACCAATGATACCTTATCTTGCACATTTGTAATTTTAATATCTCCTCAGACTGCCGATGTAAGAATTTCTATATCGAACTAATCTAACGTTCACGAGAGGAAACTATCTCATAAACTGAATTTTAGATTTTGCACTGGAGGTATTGGAGACTCCTTTGCATTAGTGCTTAATATATCGTTCGTTGGGAACTTCAAAACGGCCTAGAATAAGTTTTTTGGCCTGCAATCGTATAATTTTTCCAAGCCAAAGTGCTAACGACGCTCCATTTGAATGATGAAAAGGCACCTTACTTCCCCTCTGATCAAACTTTCACATTCTGCTTTCCAGCATTGTAACTGACCATCTCTATGACCATAGGTTTCTTGTCCCACAGAACTTTGCATTCGATTGGGCGCATAACCTTGAAGAACGCACTTTAAATATACTCGAAAAGCCCTTCGGAACAGCACGACTTAAGCATCTGCTATAGTCGTCCGTCACCGCATGTGCGCTTTTGTTCTTCAACTAACTCACCTCCCAACTGGCATGTCCAAAGAATTACGTCAGTCAATGAACTTATGCATAGTCTACGTCCACGTTGACGGCCTTTCTTTCACCATTTTTGTACTTACCGAAATAAAAATCTTCGCAGGTTGATCTCTGTCTCTCTGTCTCTCTCTCTCTCTCTCTCTCCCTTTGACATATCCTTGTTGTCAATATTGAGAAAGGCCTTTAAAGATTGGGTAGGGCATTACAGCAAAATACTCAGATGTTTTCACCCTTACGGATTGGAACCTGTCGAGATCACCCCCCTCCCCCCCGAGTGGACCATTAGCCAAGATATGGCGGTAGGAGCTTTCCTCGCATTATTAGTCCAATTAGGGGCTTTATAAGTACATACTCGGAATTTGGCACTTGTCATAGCAATCAAATAAGTACAAATCGGTTAAATTCGATATGTGCTGAAAGAATATTAGTTTGAAAATAGCATATTTTCCATCGCTAAAGTAACTAATGTGCCATGACGACAGCTCTGGGAATGCACAACTATTCTCCAACAAAAAACACGATAACCAAGTTGAAACAATTGTTGTCAGTAATAAAAGGCGTTTTTTTCCCCCAACTTCCAGATGGGCCATCAAAGTAAAAGTACTTAAGTGAATTCTATGTTAATTCCCCATTAGGGTTTATAGCAAATAAAAAGAGATATTGAAATTACTCTTTTCGAAGAATAAAATCCGCGCATTTGGCAATAAGTTCTGGCACAATTTGAGACCCTCCATAATTTATCGTTAAGGCATTGTGATTAACAAAATTTCTTACACCCCTCTCAAAGGCTCTCTTCAGGGCACGATCATTATCGAAGGCGTTTTGAAGAATGTTCTCACCGGTCTTCAATATTTTTAGCACGGCAATCATAAAGGCCATGGGCATCTTTAATGGTAAAAATAGTGTGTGTAATGGTAATAGAAAGAGCATGAAGGTAGGAAAACAGGGGAAACCGTACAGGTTTAGTATGTGCCAAGACCATGGTACCCCATTCAGTCACAAATGTTTCCAACATGTCTGCCAGCTGACTAACGCCCCCATGGTATTGGAAAAGAAGTTTGTACATTGCATTTAGGGCTATAAAAAATGCAATTGAGTTAATCAGTATCAACGGAACTGCTTTTATGAATTTAAAATCTACCGGCTTTTCTGTTCTCCTTCATGAGATGTGGAAATTCGGCAGCTATCTTCTCAAAGTGAATTCCAATTAAACCGTCATAAATTGCCCCTAACAAAGGCTTCCATGTTGTCTGGGAAAGATAGGAAGCTGCTCGCTTCTTTTCGCTTTTAATGCAACCCATCACCTTGAATAAGTAAAAAAAACCAAATTGGCTTGAAATAATCAATAACACACAGGAAGAAGAGTAAATTGATTCGTACTAATTACCCATATTAAGTAATCTTCCACCGTGTGTTCGATCAAATACGAGTGGCTCGCCTTCTCATAGAACGCGGTAGTTTCGTACATTAAAGCCATTTCAAAGTACTTGACATAAAGTGGAACCTCTCCGTACCGCTTTTTAGGGCCTAAAAATAGTTCACAGCGTGGCAGTTCCGATAAATCAACTTTATCTCTCATGCACTCGTAGATTATTAGAATATCATGTACTTCAGCGAAGCTATTAATCACAGCGCGAAGTCGTGATTTTGAGATGATCTCGCCTTTGCGTTCCCGATTAATTTCGTCAAGAATAGCTCTTGTTATCATTACAATGTAGGGCAAAAGTAATTCATCTCTCCAAATTTTCATGAAAAGCTATAATGACAAAGTTGACGTATTTGAGATGTATCAATTTGTTTGGGCAAATTCAAAGGTGGTTGGAATGAGGACTTACGCCGAGTAGGATTAAAAAATCCTTTGGTCTTTCCTCAGCACGCGCATCTATCGCGTTTCTATTGATGTAGTCAAATCTTCTGTTGATAGTGATGGAGGCATGTAAGTATGTTTGCCACTTTTTTATGTAAAACTTGAGTAACTTCTTGCTTGATAAAACAGACATTTTCTAAAGGGTATTGGCGGCGTTGGTAAAGAAGTAGACGCAAACTACCTTTGTTAGGGAAGAAACGTGATTTTTGAAGAATTGGGTGATTTTTTCGTACAAGTCAACACCACTCACTTCCAATTGACTTTCAAAGGCGCGATTAGGTTCAAAGATTGAACAAAAGGCATAAACACAGTTAGAGACGTTAACGCACTCCCATTTCGGCAGATTCTGCGAGTTCAGAACTTTTGTTAAATAACTTTCGATGATTTTCCACAATATTACTTTATCGGTAGTGTAATTTTCCATCTTCAGTTTGCTTTGAGGGTGTAAAATGTAAAAATGACCAAGTGCAGAGTTGTATTAAGACCGGTACTCACAACTTATTTAAAATCGGTAAACTTAGATGATATGAAAATATAGCAATAAATGACTCTCTAGGTGGGGCGGGGGTGGGATGGGGGGCCGAAAACGATCGCGCAACGATTCTGACTAGTTTTAAATCGGGGAAACAAGTGGCACTTTAGGGGATATTTGGAACAAATGCTATTCAATAATTGTTTTAGTCAACTTGAATACAAAGCTCATGCCATGAGAGCATTTAAAAATTGATAAAATTTATTTGTAAAGTATACTTTCCAAGAGCAGGGTGCGAGATAGACTTACCTCCACGTGGTGCACCCTGGATAACATATCTTCGTAATACAAAAAAGTCTATCAGTCGGCATTCGATTTGATTTCTTTTTACTATGATTAGCTTGAAACAAGGCTATAAGAGAAATCGCCCTCGTCAGGGCGAATCACAACGTCTTCAGATCCTCCAGTGGAATGCTGGAGGAATGTCTCCGGAAAAAAAGATCCAAGTACAGAAAATCCTACAAAGATATGATGTAGACATTTTCACAGTTATGGAAGCTAACATTTCGGATGACAAACTGAAGTACTACCAATTCCCTGGCTATACCCTGTACAATCTACCTAAGTACCAACAAGTTGCAAGTGGAATTTTGAATGGAGAAAAAGAAGGCCTCACCTCACACTACGATCTAATCAAGTGTATGGGCTCGACACAAGACATATGCGAAATAATCAGATTAAATGTTTGGAAATGTCAATACCACTTCAAGGTATATGCAATCTATAATCCACCCCAGAATTGTCCCAACTTTGACTTTCTGAACATCTCACGCAAAACTATAGTATTAGGAGACTTCAACGCCCATTCCAACAGATGGGGCTACAAGGATACAAACATAGCTGGAAAAGAAATCGAAGACATGCTAAACAGCAACCCTCTGGAACTTATTTACAGCAATGAGGATCCGGCTACATATTTGCACTACAATGGAACCAGAACAACTCCTGATTTACTCTTGGCTTCAAGCGACATCAGTGAGCACACACACCGCAAAATAATTGACGATCCTGGTTCTGGTCACAAACCAGTCATTGCTAGTATTACCATCGGCAGCAAAAGCATGACAAGAAAAGTGACAACTAAGCTATCATGGAACTTCAAGAAGGCTGACTGGTCTAGATTCACTAACCTTTTAGACAATGAACTTCACACAAGTCCCCTCANTGTCTTCATCAATGATATAGCCGAATTGGTACAGACAGTCACGGGTATCAAGTGCTTACTTTACGCAGATGATCTCGTACTATGGTATTCCCCCCCTAAGAAAAACGCTCAGGAGAGGACAGAAAGTGCCCTAAATGGTGCACTAAACTACTAGCAAACTGGTGCGACAACAATGGAATAGTAATCAACACTGCAAAAACTGCTTTTCAAACTTTTTCTTTGGCCCATCACAGCATAAACCCGCTTCTAAGGTACAAGGATACTATCCTAGAAAAAACCAATGAGTTCACATATCTCTGAATGACGTTTGACACAAAGCTAACGTGGAAAAGTCACATTGCTAAAATAGCAGAAGGAGTCTCCAATAGACTGAATGTCCTGAAGCGTCTTTCTGGTAGTGTATGGGGCTGTGCACGCTCAACTCTAAACACCACTTACAAGATGTTTATTCAGCCAATAATGTTGTATTGCTGTGGGTCACTCATTACAGCCACAGAGCTGACTCTCAAATCACTCGAGAAGGCACACAACCAAGCATTACGACTAATTACTGGAGGGATAAAACCAACACCCATTGATGCAATGCTCCTAGTTACAGGAAGCACCACAATAGGTTCCATTATCAGTGAGAAGGCCTTGATCCTGTTTGAGATGCTACTGCGCATTCCCATGGATAAGTTCTTCAGCACCTATGAGAATAGACCAAGACATCTGGAAACGCAATCTGGTCTAATACAGAAAGCCATAGAACTGAAGAAAGCATTACAAATCGATAACAAACCAAAAAGCCTCTCTCTTCCCATGAACCCACTAGCAGACACTGATGTAGTGTGTTGCACCCAACTGCTCGACTTCTTCAAGATATCAAACACCCCTCCAGAGCAAATGCGCTCACTGGCCCTTGAGATAATCAATGCCAACTATCCTGCAGATCAATGGCTCCAAGTCTTCACTGATGGGTCATACATAGAAAACTAAGCAAACGTTGGTGCAGGTGTCTTTTCTGAACTCCTCTCTTTCTACGCAGCAGCGGGACAGAATAGATCTGCTTTCGAAGGAGAAATAGAGGCCATTAGGATAGCACTATGCCAATTATGTGGCCTGGATACGAAATTCACCAAAGCGGTGATACTTTCGGACTCACAGTCAGCAATAAACTCAATTGAAAACAGAGAGCCACCCAAAAACAGCTGAGACATACGAATGTAAAAAAACTATATCAGCTGGTGAGAGAGAAAAACAAAACAGCGGTCCTTCAATGGATTCCTGGTCACTGTGGCATTAAAGGCAATGAGCTTGCTGACACACTTGCTAAGAAGGGGACAACGATTTTGCAATGCATGGACCGCCCGATGTCTTTCCACTTAATGAAGGCCTTAATCAGAAGAGAATTCCAGACCTCAAGGTGCAACGAACTTAAAGCTCGAACAAAGGAGAAACAGTGGACAGTGGCACTCGCCGATATAGCCGACTGGCCAAGAATCGAAGCCGTTGCTGAGTTTAGACTACGTACCGGACATGATTGCTTTTCAGACACCTTTACAGATTGAGAGTATACACTCAACCCACATGCCCCCTATGTAACCTACAGGAGGAAATGGAGAAGACCCACCTGATTCGGTGTCCAGCTTTAAAGATAACGAGGGAAAGCCAGAGATACTGGGAAGCAAGAAGACAACTAATAAACTACTATTAATAAACTACTATAAATGTGCCACCCACCTTTGGGGGAAGCTGAAATCAAAGTTTAAAGGCTAATGATAAATATCATATTTATTTCAAATGGTAGGCTTTGTGATATTTATCATTTGCACTTAAACTTTGACTTCAGTTTCCCCCAAGGGTGGGGGGGGGTACATTTATAGCAGTTAAGCTTCCCCCAAGGGTAGGGGGGGGGGACATTTATAGCAGTTAATTCCTACCCCAAGGGTGGGGGGGGGTACATTTATAGCAGTTAATTAATAGTATTTGATTTGACTTCGATTTATTATGATAAATATCATAAATCCTGCCATTTGAAATAACTTTCCAAGAGCTGCCCGTCTTCTAATATAGTTAAGAGGGGGGGGGGGGGGTTTGTTACTTGCATACAAAGTGCAAAATTTTTATTAAGAACTTCTAAGGTCACTGATCTGAAGATAACACGGACTTACTGATCAGTGCAGACTTCAGCCAATATCAATAAAATTCTGCGAGGTACTGTGCTGTGGCCTGACAAATCATTTAAAGTTCATTTATCTGTTTCCTTAACCGAGGTCAAATCAACTGGAATCATAAAAATGTCCTTGTATGCGTTAATTGTAAGAACAGCTATAAAATTAAAAGTAAATTACTGACTATCCTGTGACCTGATAAATGGGTGAATAAGCTAGTATTAATTGGCATATTTGTTAGTTTACTATTGGTCATTCGAAATCGTACAATGCAAGTATCTTCAGTCCTTTAAGGTCACTTTGGAACATCTATAAAAGCAAGGATCTTGTAAGTCGTCTCATTCATACCAGATATTGAGCTTTATAATAGTACGTTCTCTTCAGCTCTCTCGTCTTTTCTATCCGTTTGCTCTTACAGATGCCTAGACAAGTTATCAATCGACCAGTTTATATCGTTAAACGTGCTCCTCCATCACAACCGAATCTTCTTCCTGTGAGAAGCCTACCAAATCTACCGCTGAATCACCAAACTAATGGTGATGTTGGAACTCAAGCTCCAGCAGGTAAGAATCTATTTCCTGCCATGTTATCTCATATTTGCCCTATTATTGTAGAGCCTTCTGCCGCACAAGCAAGTGGAAATGCTATTTCTTTGGCAAAATTTCTCAATCACATTTTGACCAGTAGGAAGGCAGCCACTGGTGAACGTGCACAAGTCACACAATTGGTTCAAGACCTTATTGTGAGTCGACTATAGTCGTTGCTTTTTCCTTATTTTTTCCTCCCTCAATGATCTTGACGCATGCTTTTTCTCTTCTCAGGACGGTAAGGTTTCTTGTGATGTCTTCCTTGTCCAATTGTATTCGCACTTGAAAACCTCAGGGAGACAAGATGTGGACAATTTATTCTACACTGGTCTCCCTAAACTTCGAATGAACTTAATTAATGGGACTGCAGCGATTCCTAACATCAGACCTCCTAATCCAAGTGTGCTTGTGGGAGCCTCAACTATAACCACTACCGCCACAGTGGTGGCAACATCTACAGTGTCGCAAGCTCGACCTGCAATAATTCATACTCCGTCTCAGTCCTCTGCTTCTCACAATCTTCCTCCACCTTCACCTGTTGTTGTGGATAATCTTCCCCCCAATTCCACTTTTCAACTCTCCACTTCCTCTAAACCTATCCGTCCTGCTCCCTTACGGCCTATCACTCCACGTTTGCATACTTCTCTTTTCTCTCCACGTGCTGCAGTCACCAATTCACCTACTCCTATCCGACTTCTACTGCCAGTGTCTACAATAACTAACACCACTCGTCTACAACTCCGTCATAAGCCTCCTACAAATCACTCCACTGCTCTATTTCGAAGTGAGTCTGGCACAACCCTCATTGCTCCCAATCCTCCTACTATCCTACTACCTCTGGGCACTAAATTGCGTACGCTTATCCCCTCCCCTCTGCCTCCTTCAACTCCCTCTATTACCTCTTCATCAGCAGAACCGGCGCCGAACTCTACTCTCACTCCTCCNGCGATTCCTAACATCAGACCTCCTAATCCAAGTGTGCTTGTGGGAGCCTCAACTATAACCACTACCGCCACAGTGGTGGCAACATCTACAGTGTCGCAAGCTCGACCTGCAATAATTCATACTCCGTCTCAGTCCTCTGCTTCTCACAATCTTCCTCCACCTTCACCTGTTGTTGTGGATAATCTTCCCCCCAATTCCACTTTTCAACTCTCCACTTCCTCTAAACCTATCCGTCCTGCTCCCTTACGGCCTATCACTCCACGTTTGCATACTTCTCTTTTCTCTCCACGTGCTGCAGTTACCAATTCACCTACTCCTATCCGACTTCGACTGCCAGTGTCTACAATAAATAACACCACCCGTCTACAACTCCGTCATAAGCCTCCTACAAATCACTCCACTGCTCTAATTCAAAGTGAGTCTGGCACAACCCCCATTGCTCCCAATCCTCCTACTATCCTACTACCTCCGGGCACTCAATTGCGTACGCTTATCCCCTCCCTTCTGCCTCCTTCAACTCCCTCTATTACCTCTTCATCAGCAGAACCGGCGCCGAACTCTACTCTCACTCCTCCCGCTTCCTCCTTCTTGTCTCCTCATACTACTGTGTCCTCCACGACAAACGTGTCTTCTTCTTCTTCCAAATCAATTTCCTCACCTCAACCAACTGTTTGCAGTCAACTAGATCAACCTTTCTTCCCTGTCTCTCAGATTCGACTCTTTCTTGCTTCCAAGTTGCCACCTAACGAGGTGGCTTCCTTCACGGAGGNAGGAGCTTACTCACTCGTATCTCTCTCGTAGCTGGCCATAAGGCGACCAAATTAGCCGATGATCCTCATTTGGAGCAAGTAGATTATGCGAGGGAGCAAATTTACTTTTTACAGAAGATGCATGAGTTCGATCAGGAGAAACGGTGTGAGCTCCAAACGGAGTTTATTCACGAGGCTGCAAAGGCAAGTTGTGTATTTTTTTCACTTAAAATTAATAAAGATGTTAGTAAACTAGGAAATCTGGCATTTTGGGCACTGCTGTTGGTGTAATAATCAATGGGTCAAGGGTTGGTATGCCCGAATACGCATTTCTAACATTTCTGGGAAGGCATTCTTTATTGTAAAATGGTAATGGGTGAAAGAGCGACGTTTGGGGAATTATTTGTGCAACAGTTTAGGCTTCTATTTTATCTTAATATCAGCAGTTTCAATGGCACACTCGTACTGATAGGAATATTTGATTTGCTTTGTTTTGAAAGTTCCATACACTTGACGTTCTGATATGGTACAACTCGTCTAAAGCAATTTACTGCCAGAAATTCAGTATTCATCAGATCACGTTATCTTGAAGAACATGATGAGTAGTGGAGTGAGGATTTTATCAGTGGTTCCAGGTTGCCATTGGTTTATTCATGATGGGTGCTACAAATAAATTGCCTCAATTCTATTCGAAGCTTATTTAATGCTCCATGGATCTATCTTATTCACTTGTAATGGCCATGATAGGCTAAGTATCGCAATAAATGGCTTTGCTTTTGATAATTTAGGTTAGTTCGTCTATTGTAATTATACCGGCCTGAAAGATTTTGGGCCTGAATGATTTTTAGTATGGATCGCCTTACGTTTTCATTCCATGCCTTATATCTGTTTTAGTGCTGAATTATTCCCTCCTTTTTTCTTGTTTCTTCAATTCGGACCTTTTTTCTCTCCTTATCACTTAGATCATGTCCCATTCGACTTTGTAACATCAGCTTTCGTTTCTGTGTTCCTTTCATTTCCACGCCATTATGTCAAATTTACCTAAACACTTAATAAAAGTTTGCAAGTAACACCTGTGTGATGGTTCGCCCAACCAACTATATTCTTCCCAATTTTAGACTCGAAAACGCAATGGGAATGGCGAAGAGGCCAAAATACGAGAGATGGCAATTCAGTTAAAAAAGGAGAAGGACGAGCGTGAACGTCAAGAGCAGGCCAACTTGACAGCTCTTTCAGCTATTGGCACTTTGCCTAATAAGCGACCCCGTCTCTCGACGAATCTGTCAACCAGTGAACAAACCATAATCACGACTGGTGGTAATCTCAGCAGCAATCTCAACTCAGCTACAAGTTCCACTGGTTTCTCGCTGATCAATTCTACATCTTCTCTGTGTTTGGTTCAACCTTCTTCCTCAAGCAATCAGATTTCATCTACACCATGTTTTAATCTCGCCGATTGGGTACGTGCAAGGCGGGCTGGTTTGCGTGAACTCCAGGTGGTTTTGAGCAAGGATAGGCGTCTGTGTCGATCTCGAGCTCTATTTCGAACCTACTTGTGTTGATCGTTGCGTTTAATCTCTCGCGCCACTGTTTTTGCTCAACTGGCAGCATGCTCTCAGGTTTCTCCGTAGTTTCGAATAAGATAAATTGCGGAGTGGTTATGCCTTACTACAAAGACTGTTCAGTCTCTCTCTCCCTAACTCTCTCTCTCTCTCTCTGATGTAAAAGATGTGTTTATATGGCCTGTTTTTTGTATTTATAAATGGTTTTCTTTGAAAATATTATTCTTCATTCTGTACTATTGTAAATGGGTGTGTGGTTTGGAGGTGTGTGTGTGTGTGTTGTTTAGTGCTGCTTACTCATCAACTGATCTTAAAAAGGAGCGTTAGCATGAACGACGGGTGGAGTTTTAATGTGGCCTCTTGTTGGTGGCATGCATTCGCCCAAAAGACGTATGATGCAGGTTAGAAACGACCAGATAAACAGTATTTTCAAACACTTAGNAGCTCTTTCAGCTATTGGCACTTTGCCTAACAAGCGACCCCGTCTCTCGATGAATCTGCCAAGCAGTGAACAAACCATAATCACGACTGGTGGCAATCTCAGCAGCAATCTCAACTCAGCTGCCAACGCTGCTACAGCTATAAATGAAAATATCATAAATCCTGCCATTTGAAAAAATGACTTTTACTAGATCATATTCGCATAGGCACATTACTTCAATTCAACATTTAAGGTATAATTCTTTGAAATTTATTGTAATAAATACTGGACTAAAATTAACTAAAAAAGAAAAAAATAATCTTAAAGCTAAGGAAACCGCGATTTCAAAATTCTTCACAGAAGTATTTCTAGAACCTTGCGTCAGCTGATTCGTTGATGTGCTAGAAATGCACGGAGCGTATTGAAATTGGAAACGAAAACTAATATCTTCTCGAATTTTTTCATTGATGAAAATTGCGATGCTGCCTTCTTCCATTCCGGTCACTTGAAAAGAAAAATACTGACAATAGTTATGAAATCTCTCATTTCCATTTCTTCGAAACATACCCTCTCCATTATAGCAAGATACTTCAATTTCAATCTTTAACAAACAACTTATCGCTTACCAGTTCAAGCTACCTCAACACCTGCCTGTATCTGTTATTCAGTGCTATATACGACGAACTGAGCCCTGGCCATAACCGAATTAGCCTCGCTTCCAAAATTAACACGACAATGATGTACTTGTTAGCTTATTGACTCGTTAACTGCTACTTAAATTTTTAAGTAAAATAAAATTTAAGACAGGCGATCACCACTTTCCCCGATTGCTCATTCATTGAGATGATAATTCCGGGGATTTGAGAGTGAATAGCACTGCAAGTGTTTTTTATACATTACATCCTGGTTATGGGGTGTGCGATAGACTTACCACCTCGTGGTGCACCCTGGGCAACGTATACTCTTACGGCACAAAAGTCTATTAACCGGCAGTTGACTTCTGGCTTCAAACTACCATCACCCCACTGTTTGTCATATTCGACCCCTTCCACAGTATTCACCTCACCTCTCTTCTACCTTATCTACCTTCGTCTTTGAAAGACTCTTCTGTTCCCCCACATCCTCCTCTCACCTTTTTTTCACTTTGATGTTCATTCTCCTCTGTGAAGCCTGAAGTCAACTAAAGGGCTAATGTTGACCATCAAAACGTCTGCCATTTGATATAATAATAATAATAGCATTCTGGTTACACTTTTTCTTCCTCAATAGTCAATTCCTTTCTTCAAAAATATCGATACATTTTGTGTCGAGTGACTTGCTGATTGGGGTGTCCTCATTTCTCTGCTTTCNGACGGAAAAATTGCGGAGTGGTTGTGCCTTACTACAAAGATTGCTCAGTCTCTCTGATGTAAAAGATGTGTTTATATGGCCTGTTTTTTGTATCTATAAATGGTTTACTTTGAAAATATTATTCTTCATTCTGTACTATTGTGAATGGGTGTGTGGTTTGGAGGTGTGTGTGCGTGTTGTTTAGTGCTGCTTACTCATCAACTGATCTTAAAAAGGAGCCTTAGCATGGACGACGGGTGGAGTTTTAATGTGGCCTCTTGTTGGTGGCATGCATTCGCCCAAAAGACGTATGAAGCAGATTAGAAACGACCAGATAAACAGTATTTTCAAACAATTAGTTAAAGTGGGTAGTTAACTTCTAAGCTGAAGTCAACTAAGTCAACTAATGAAAATATCATAAATCCTGCCATTTGAAAAAATGACTTTTACTAGATCATATTCGCATAGGCACATTACTTCAATTCAACATTTAAGGTATAATTCTTTGAAATTTATTGTAATAAATACTGGACTAAAATTAACTAAAAAAGAAAAAAATAATCTTAAAGCTAAGGAAACCGCGATTTCAAAATTCTTCACAGAAGTATTTCTAGAACCTTGCGTCAGCTGATTCGTTGATGTGCTAGAAATGCACGGAGCGTATTGAAATTGGAAACGAAAACTAATATCTTCTCGAAGTTTTTCATTGATGAAAATTGCGATGCTGCCTTCTTCCATTCCGGTCACTTGAAAAGAAAAATACTGACAATAGTTATGAAATCTCTCATTTCCATTTCTTCGAAACATACCCTCTCCATTATAGCAAGCTACTTCAATTTCAATCTGTAACAAAGTCATCACTAAAGTCCTTTTAATTTATAATTTATTGCATTTATAAACAAAGTTCCATGGATATTTACTTCTGGCACATCACAGAATTCAACTGCAAGGTCTGCTAAAATCAACTATTTTATTAAGATGGTTCATCTTATTCTAGCACTTTTATTTATCTTCAACTTAGGACGAATTAATGCCAATAGTGCCACTATTACCTGATTAGGCAATCAATGAAATGGTGATGTAATGTCATCATGTTCTCATTTACAAGAGATTAACTTCGTTTGAGTTACAAAATGTCTGTCTGAGTCTATATAGTGACACAGTGGCTGAGCCGCGTAACAACCGCCCATAACAACTCAAGCTACCTCAACACCTGTCTGTATCTGTAATTCAGTGCAATTTACGACGAACTGAGCTCTGGCCATAACCAATGGAGCTTATGATAAAAGAGGACCAAAGAGTCCTGCAAATGCGTTAAAGGGCGGAACCCACAACTGACATCGGCCTGTGCAAGTACTTCACTACTAATTTCAGTAATATCGTAAGTTGTAGTTCTGTAGGCGTTCTAGCCTTGATAAAAGAAATTCACATTCACGCCATGTCGACATTTTTGGCTCACAAATAACGTTGGCCAATATGCATACTTAGAAGAATTCTTGCAGGTGTCTCTCTCATCGTATCTGGACACAACCTGAGCTCAAACATCTGTTTATGAGACGCCCGACTTCCCAATGGTACCCCCTGTATAACGCGAACTTGGATTTATGCCATTGTGAAGCAATCACATATGCAAAGTTAGATTGTCGCTTGATAATGTAAATGAGCAGATGGGAAGTGCTTAAAACATGCTAGGGTTTTATTGGGAAAGCATATTCCCCCTTTCACTCTCTTGTAATTATCAAATGCTCAGCATGCTTCCTCGACAGATGCACCTATCATGGAAAGATTTATATCTAAATGGGGATGAGATTTGCGTAATGCACAAGTTAGTCAAATAAGTCTACATATTGACATCTCTAATTCTAAAGATCAAATTCGGGCAAAATTTTCTCTTTCGTTCTCACGGCATCCTTGAATTTGGAATAATTGTACTATTAAGTTTGGCAGTGTAAAATATTAAATGATTGGTTTTGGCTTCTGATTACGTTAATACATGCATGAGTCCAAAGAGATCAAGAACTTGTAGCTTCTGCACAATCAGATCTACAAACCCCACCCGACCTCATTCAACCCCTACCCCCCCCCCCCTCTCAGTAATGCTTGCACTAATTACATGGGAGAAAGCTGTGGTCTTAGTATGGTTTGCATAGCTTAGTCAGCGTTGTTTACTTGAATTGTGACACTGGAATTATGATTTAATCTAAAGAGATTTTGCTTAAATATATGAGTTAGTCACGTGAAATCTCATGACACCGTTCAAGCGATATTCAATGCTCGTTAGAAGGGGAAAAACAGGTTTTTTTAAAAGCATGAGTTGTCTCTTTACTGAGGTACAGCATTAGGAATGCATTCAAAATGAGTGTTTTAGTGACAACAGGCAATTTTGCTATGCATCGAATTGAGCCCACTATTCAGATAGTGTCATTGCAGAAACTTTTTTTCCAGAAAGCCTCAGAAATCCCTCCTTCAAGCGAAGATTCGATTTGAAAATGGATTTCACTAATGCAAAGTTTGTGCCCCGCCGCGTTAACAAGACAACTAGCAAACTCTATTAACAAAGGAAATAAGTGTACTGAAATTATATCAACAGAAGCTTATTTCAATCCACCGGTAACTCGGCTCTGCGAGCATGAACTTTAGGGAGCACCTTATGATTATGTAATAAAGAGGTCATCAAGTGAACTCTGAATTTAAATGAATATACCTTTGATTTACATATCAATCCCATCTAGTCATAACTTAATTGACATTTTTACTTGCTTCATATCGTGCAGAATCGTAAATTACTTGTACCCTGCCACTTGGTGTAAAAAACGCATTAGATTCATGTGATCGGTGGGGGGNGGGGGGGGGGGGGGGGGGTTTGGGGGAGGTGGACTTAGCTGGCGAAGAATATTGAGTCAAATTTTAGAACCAGAATACAGTACGCATCCGATTATTTAACGAGTAGGATATGATTATTACTATTTCAAATGGCAGGCGTTTCGATAGTCATGAATAGCTGATTTCGGGGTTCACAGAGAGGAGGAGGAAGATCAAAGACACAAAATGTCGAGAGGGGAACAGAAGAGTGATTCACAGTTGTAAAAGAGCCAGATAGACACAAAGGCAGAGAAAATGTAAGATGAGTACTGTGGAAGTGGTCGAATATGAGATGCAATGGGGTCACAATAATAGAGAGTAGGGTAAGGTGAATACTGTAGAAGTGGTCAACTATGACACACAGTGGTGAGTACTGTGAAAATGATCGAATATGACATGGAGTCAGCGAGTACTGTGGAAGTAGTCGAATATGACATACAGTGGGGCGAGTGCTGTTGAAGGGGTTGAATATGACAAGCAGTCGGGCTGATTGGTAGTTTGAAGTGAGAAGTCAACTGCCGGTTGATAGACGTAGTTTGAAGTCAGAAGTCAACTGCCGGTTGATAGACTTGTTAGTTTGAAGTGAGAAGTCAACTGCCAGTTAATAGACTTGTACCGTTAAAGTAATAGAGTGGGGTGATGGTAGTTTGAAGTCAGAAGTCAACTGCCGATCAATAGACTTTTTGCAAGTCAGAAGTCAACTGCCGATCAATAGACTTTTTTGTCTTTGAAGTCAGAAGTCAACTACCGTACAGTGGGGTCATGGTAGTTTGAAGTGAGAAGTCAACTGTAGGTGAGGTGAGTACTGTGGAAGTAGTCGAATATGACACAGTAAGGTAAGATGATTACTGTGAAAGGGGTCGAATATGACATAAGTGAGGTGATGGTAGTTTGAAGTGAGAAGTCAACTGCCTTAGTCGAATATGACATACAGTGGGGTCAGAGTCAACTGAAGGTAGAAAAAAGGCGAGGTGAGTACTGTGGAAGTGGTGAAATATGACA